CTCCGTTTACTGTGAAAAAAAATAGTGGTCACCGATCGTCTTGTGTGTCTGCTTCTCATGTCTCTGGTAAACATACACTTTCTATTCTAAGCTTACTTCTTTTGAGATGCCAGAGGATCTAAGATCGTCTACTAATTAGACTAATAGAGGACTGAACTGAGGGCATTATTTCCTTTCACTTGAGTACAGCTGATTAATGTCCTCGCGTTTATAATCCCCAGTGTACCATATTTATTGTAAAGAGGACAACATGTCTACAGCTGATTATATTAATGTCCTCACATTTACATGTAATTCTAATATTGACTAAGAGTATTATAGGCCTACTGAACAGATGCCGTGGTGTTCACTCACTTGACTACAGCTATTTATAGACGGGTCCAAACGAATTAAAATTGCTCAAATATAGCCTATGTTTTTAAATTTGTGGGCATCATTTTGTTACAAGCTGGCAACAACGTGAATCCTCATCACCAGTTCTTAGATCACAAGGAATGGGCTGTTGGCAGGCAAAATTTTCAATTTAAGTGGCAATTTGATTTTAAAAAATTACAAATTGTACGTAGGCCTAATGATAACACATTATGTTTTTTTACGAAAAAAAAGAAAGAAAAATTACGAAAAAACATATTTTTATAACTTGGCTAAATTTAGTACTATAAGTGTTTTATTATATAAATACGAAAAGAAAGCTAACAACCCCAAAATGTTATTGTGAAGCTAGTATGTAACCACCAAATGTAATTTGAATAGGCCTATATTTGGTATCATACGAAAGCTATTTAATTTATATATTAAATGATGTGTTTTAATGCCAAATTTGACCAAAAACTAGTCAAATATTACACATTTTTACCCAAAAACCTAATTTTGAAGCTAGTTTAATTTAAAAAATAAATGGCAGCGCTACGGGGGTGGGGATTTCTTTCCCCCTCCTCCAGTTTCCCCGGCCCCTTCCCAAAACAGAAGAAAAACCATAATTCGTTGGGGAGAAAAAAACAAAATGTATTTTCTACATATTAGTAGAGCATCTATAATAGGCCTATATAAAATCGATTAAATACGTAAGCCATTGAAACCCCTGAACCACTTTTGAAACATTTTAATCGATACAGGACCACGTCGACTTTGCTCTCGTCGGGGACCTCCCCCCTCCCCCTACAAAATCATACGGTACCTGTCCCTCACTTCCCCACCCCTCCCCTTCCCAGATTTCAGACGCCTGGCACCGCCACTGAAAAGATTCTATTTGAATTATACTTTATATTTTGTATTTTAAAGTAATAGTATGTCGAAATTTATCTCGCTAAAAATGGCAAATCATACACCATTTTACCCTAAGATGGTATCTGGAAACTAGTACGTTACGTTTATTTATAATATATATCTTAGAAATCTATTAACATTATCGATCATTTGATAAGTATCATGACATGCTATGTTAATGTTGTGACCAAAAAAAAACAAAAAACATAGACCTATTTTATAAATAAAACTAGTCCTGATACCCCTTGAGACATCAACTTCATATTAACATGTACTGTAAAATAATAATTTAAAAAAATCGATATTTGTTTCAGTTCCAAAAAAGTCATCAATCGCGATATGGCAATTAGATAATACTATTTTGATAAATAAAAAAAAACAAACAAACAAACAATTGAACACTCATAGGCCTATCTGCGGTCTAAATCCGTCTATCTTACATCCGGGATTTCCAATTGGTGAAGGACCGATGCTTCTGGGATATGGCACCGGAATAATGATAGGCCTAACGAAAATAATATTAAACTGCATACCTATGAATGATGAGTTTGGATTACTAAGAAATGGTACGATATTACATAGTCGTTGATTATTAATACCTCCTCTCCCCACCAGCTATTCTGGTTTAATTAGTGGATCGGTATCCCCGAGGATACGGTACCCCTATTTCGGGAAATTTGTTCCCAAAGGTGTTTCCTCATAAGAAATGGTATTAAAAATATCAAAGTATATTAATCAAACAGTGTTTTAATTTAGGAGACTTTTACTTATTTTTTAAATTACAGTAATGCAACTTTTACCTACCGGTATTTTACCATTTTAATATTTATTGAATTTTTTTAATACAAGTTTGTTTCGTATATAATTATAGGCCTACTTTTATATACTTGCACGCGCAAGTTGAAACTTTCCACTGTTTCCAATCTGTATTTATACGTTTTGATTCACTAGATGATACAGTATTATCTTATAAAATAGAAATACATCATTGTACGTGATGTGATATTCCAATTCAACATCAGTCCTCAGTGTTCCTGTGGCCATTTTCACCTAATATCCTGAATAATTACCGCCTGTGTAGCAGAGCGTGAATTTTGAAATTCCAGAAAACCGCGTGACATGAATTGACGCCGTGACGACGGAAATGGTGGATAAGGTGTATTTTAGCAATAAAAAACCCCACCATATTTTGTTTATGATTTTAGGTCTAAAGTATATTCGTACGTATCAACAAAACTACTAAGGTAGGCTTAAGTATTTAAAGAAAACGTGTAACTAGCAATATTTAGTGATTTTAAGTTCCGTTAGCCAATAATCCGAGTCAGTTTCCATGTAACGTGCATAGCATGGTGTACACTCGGTCGGACGCTGAATTTGTTTTTTTTTTCGACAAGATTTTTAATGTGTTTTTAAGGTATGTATTTTCATATAGTTGTACGCTTAAAATTGAGAAAAACATGACTTGTACCATCAGAAATGGTACTTGCGGCCATTTCATTAAATATTCTGGACGTACCACATGTGGACCAAAAATGCCAAAGAACCACGTAAACTCGGAATGGCAGATATTGTCGATATGATGTATTCTTACAGAAAACTCCATAATTTGCTGTATTATAGTGTATTTCCGTGATGTATATATAATCAAATATTTGAACTTGAATGTATATTTCAAACGCCAAAACAAATATGAGTTACTTGCTTTGTGGTGAGTGCAAGGTAGGTTCTAAATTAACTAGGACTAGGCAATTTCGACAAGAATAGTTGTGATTATAGAGCACTGCTTTTAATAATTTCTTTCCTAGGCCACATTACTAATAGAATATTTATTATCTACTATTATTCGAGGGCCATACCAGTGGTGTATCTAGCAGGGGTACATCCAGTAAGGGCCTGTTTTGCCACTAAATTTTAAAAATTTCAGTGCAAATCAATATTATGTGTTTTAATACACCTACCTATTCTGAATCTAGTGTCTCCCTCTCCCTCCCCTCTTTCCCCTTCCCCCTTTGAAAAATTCTGGATCTGCTCCTGTCTAGGATTGAAATGAGGTGATAATTGGAAGGGCGTGGCCCGCGAAGGTGAAGTGGGTGCTTGATGGTTAGGTAACCAGCCGCTTTCATGCAATATTAGGTGATTTCAGGTAGATTTTTAAGTACTTAAGTGTGATTTTTTTTGCTTTGAACATTTTTTTCAATAAGGGGGGGAGGGAGAGGAGGCCGAATATATTTTTTGTGGGGAACATATCCCCCATTATAGACCAGGCTAATTTTAATGACCAAAATAAATAAATAAAAATAATAAGGACTATCAATTTTATCTATAAACCATAGGCCTACATTATGATTAGTGAAGTACTTAAAACGATACTTCATCAAACAAGTTGCAATTAAAGCACTACCATTGAAGACATAAAGATATTATTAAATATATGATTTCTTGTATCTGAATTGAATCAGTCTTCATATACGAAAAAAATAGTCTACGCCTTAGAAAAAAAAAAAAAAAAAAAAATTTTATTCAGTCCTGTTCTTTTTTTTTTTTTTTTTTTTTTAATCTATTAATCTATTAATTGCTTCTGATTCTATTTTTAGGTGGTTTTCTTTGATTAGAATAAATTATATTATTAAAATAGACTATACTCTATAATAATGCATTGTAATACACTTAATTCAAGGCATATTATTTTGTTAATAAGTGTTTCTACAAAAACGTGAACCGTGTAATTATGGCTGTGGATAATTGCTAAATAAAAGACAAATTTTCTCATGAAATTATTTATTTTTCAATATTTATGGTTGAAATTTCTAGGTAGTACTAATACACTTTAATTAATTTCCCCATTTCTTGTTTTTTGGTTCCTATGCTGTAAAGTAGTATGAACCTTTGAAATGATCTGGATGTTCGTCTGTACTTCTGCGATGCTGATGTTATAAAATTTGTTGAAATTTGTGAACTTAACCCTTTGAAGTCTCAAGGGGGTTTATTCTAGGTCACGGGGGGCTCTTAAGGGGTTTTAATAGGTTTCTGAAAAACGCATAATTAATTTTTATGACTGTAACTTTCTGCAAATGTTGGGTTTGATTGTTGGGTAAAATGTTTTGGGCTTCAGAAAAATAGCAAAATTATTTGACTTTTTTACCTAGGTCAAAGGTCATGTGCCCCAAAATTGCAATTTGGGGGCCCAAAAAGGGTACTTTTTTCCCCTATAAATCCCATGTAAACGACACTAAAAAAATTCCTATGCTCATAAATGTTACGCATTATGCGGAATATGTTGTTTTCTACATAAAAAATGTGTTTGGTTAAAAAAAATTGTTTTCATATTTATGACGATTTTTTTTATGTCCAATGTCACAAAGGTCACTGAGGCCTCTATCACACGCCCCCCCCCCCCCTTCCCTGATAGAGGGCAAGTAAGCCTAGCTAGGCCTACATATGCTTATTTCCAACTAGGGTGGACTACTGGACCTAGGATATATTTCACTAAAACTAGTACACTTGATAAAATAATAATAATAGAGAAGATGGGGTAGGGGTATTGAAATATGAGAGGGGAGGGGGTCCTATGTACATGACCAAACCCGAAATGAAAGGTTGCAGACCTAGGCCTAGCATTACTGGTTGCGCTGCTAAAGATTCTAGTTAAAATCTTTCCTCAGATTCATATTATTTTATTATTAAATAATTAATTATTTATTTATGATCCCACTATTAATTATTTATTTAAACAATCCCACTATCCTCGTCTATCCAAGTACATCAATCATTGACAGAAATTTTTTATTTATTTTTTTTTTTGCTCTATACGATCGAAGCATTGTCTCATATTGTTTTAATAATGCTGCCCTCTGTTGCTGACTCTTTTAGGGGATTTCCCTAACTGTAATTGTATATTGTATATAGGCTAATTGTATATTGTATTAGATATAAACTAATTGTTTATTTCATTTGTTTAAAATTCTGTAACATATTTACATTGTTGTCCAACACATTAAATACAGAATAAGAAAACACTAAATAACACATTGTACTATATACATATCAACAATGCCGAAATAAATTATGGAAATGAAGAAAATCCACTCCACAAAGGTAAACTATAAATTACGAAAAAGAAATGTAAAATATTAATAAAACAAAGCAAGAAAATATTAAATTAGTGATTTATGCAATGTTTATACTATTATACTTTGTTTTCATTAATTATTAATACAAATGTGGTTCGAAATTTATAGAGAAGACTGTACATCAGGGCTTAATCTATTCCATTTGATAGCACTATCATATGAAATACTTTAAAAAAAAATTAGTCTCATGTATTTCAGTTTGCCTTCATTCCCGTGCAAAGGACGG